TTCCACGTTTGGCAGGCTCCGTGATATCAGCAACGGTACCGGCTCCGACAGAGAAGACGATACATGATCCGAATGCCTGGAAGACACGGAGAATGTACAGCTCCGCAATATGTGGTGGCAGCACAGCAAGTAGGGTGTTCGCGACGAGGAAACTGCCGAGTCCGACCATGTACACTGTTTTCCTTCCGCCTAGGTCTGAGGCAGCAGCACCGAAGAGAGGCTACGCAATCTTAGTTTTACATTTCGAGATGCCGGTACAGATGACTTACGGCAATGGCGAACACCATCATATACATTGAGACTGTACCGTTTACCGCAGTCTCCGATGCATTGAATATCTTCTCGAAGATCTTCAGAGAAGGCAAGTAAACAGCTCCGCATAGTGGTCCAAAGAAGCCCGCCGCTGTAACGACGCCTAGAATGAACCTCCTGCGGTTCACCGAAAAAGCCGAGTATGGTTCTGGCAGCGACGGAAGAGCAGTAGGACCATTCGTTGGTGATTGCTCAGTTTCTCTCCTGGGTTGTGCTAAAGGGTAGTCATCGCTATCGATGCTCTCTCGATACCGGCCGTTATTGATATCCTTCACAAAGTCGATTGGAGAACGCATGGTAAACGAAAAGAAGAAAACAATACGATGCAAATAGAAGCTCGACGAGGAGCGTTCTTGGAACCCAAGAAAACAGACAAGATGGATATGTACGGCGGCGTCAAACCTAGAATGCCCAATCCTCGGAGCGTTGTATGTGCCGATGACGAGCAGCGCTGGACTGCAAGACATAAGACCTTGTCCTGGAAGGCCGTTACATTACGTTTGACAGGTCGCGCATAGCCTTGCTTCCTGCTTCCTGCACTGCCTTTGAGAAGGCGCCCTGGCTTGAGGGCAGTGTTTTCATGTCCGCTGCGGTCAGGTTTCCACCAGAGGATTGCTGAGCCGCACCCCACGCCGCATCCGCATCGTCATGCACCCCGCTGCTCTAGCCTCGGGGCTTGCTAGTCGCGGATCGCGCTAGGTGCGCGTCATTGTTGGTGTTGGAAAACGTCCGACACAATGACCCGACAGATCAACCCGACAACACGACTCGCGACAATGACCCGTCATCAAGTCTGGCAATACCTAGGTACACATGCCACTTCCTGTACGTGCGATCACCCATGCAACGGCTAAAGCTTGCTAGAAGTTATATGTGAAGCCATCTTCATTGCGTCTGCATCCGGCTCGTCATACTGCGTTTCGTGGTGTGCGCAGATGTGGCGGCTATCCTATTCTACGCATGATGGCGTTTGTTATTGCCGGCGATGGCAAAGGGTAGGATGAAACAGTTACAGCCTCCACCAACGATTCGAATCTTCTCGGGCGCCAGGGCACGCATACAGACAGGTCAGTACGCTCAGAACAACAGGTTGCGAAAGCTCTTGCCATTTGTCTCCCCGCTTCGCTCGATTTGGTCGCAACTTTAGGGCGCCTGTGTTCATACATCAACGGGTCCGGCTCTTACTTCCTATTCATGCATATCCTCAGCAAATCTATGTGGTCTATGCGGCACAGTGAGGGCGAGCGAGTCCGCTTGGACGACGACCGTGGCAGGAAATCCGGACACGGTATGGATGCCATGAGTGTGATGGGTTGACGGCTGCTCAAGGTTACTACGGACCTGGACCACATTGGGAGTCACTGGCTTTGATATGACATCGCATCGGGTTGAGCATATATGTCGTGCGGAAAATGCAACAAACATGCGATACGTCTGAGACCACCTGGGTGGCATCAACAAATAACAGCAAGAGTATACCTGCAAGCCTTGAAACGTCATCGGCTGATGTACTGTTGTACCAACACCGTCAGCACATGTTTACCCAGCCAACTACTTCAACGCCGGGCGATGCACGTAAGCCCATTGGCCCAAATTCATGGTCGCTCTCCAACCGATGTCTCAAAGACAAGCATCTCGCAATGTTGGGAAGCTCAGAATATTGTTACAACGACACGTATACCCACGCTCTGTTCAACGATCGATCTGTCGTTGCATCCAACATGCAGCATCGCATGTTCATCCAGCCTGCCTTGACCCTGATCTCATTCGCCTTTCGAGTCCCGCAACCAAAACCCCGGGACACGACTTCACGGCTTCCCACTGCGCTTGCAATAACAATTCATCTATCGCACGTTGGCTAAAGAGCGCTCTGCCTGTAAGCTGCACTCCCAACACATGCAACATAAGCGGCCCGTTCCCCTCGCATCACCAACAAACAACCACGACCTGCATGCTATCCAACATTATTCCGCGCCTCAACACCTGCCGCGCAGTATCGTCTTGTCATGATTGCGCAGGATGCGGATGAAGGCGCGAAATCTGCTCAAAACCTTGGAAACCTTCTCACCTCGCTTACCGTCTAAACCTATTCCAGCATAGCGCTCTGCGGCCCGCCCTTGCTCTTGGAGTCTCTTCGACTATCGAAACATGGGCCAGCAGGTCTGTTACCGATCCATCTCGTGGTATGGTAGGCTGAGATTATGAATGGCAGTCTTTGATCAATACTGGCATGCGGTGGCGAGGTGTGCAAAAGTTCGGGTACCGCGTGGGAACGGGTGCGAGAAGGGTTCCGGGCCTGGCACTCCCTAAATAGGAGCTTGCACCACAAGAAAGCGATATAAACGCCGCGATTCCACGTTCACTCTCCGGAAATATTCTTAGTGGCGGACTTCACTTCAGTTTCAAACTTCTTTGTTCGTCAAAATCTCCGCGTTTGAAGTGTGAATCATTTGGGGTGGTTGCCGCTTCCATTCAAGGTCACGCAGGGGAAAATCTGCTCATAACTTGCTCAACCCTACTTCTCACACCACTCATATTCATTCACTTGCGCTGTTTCGTTTCCAACAAATTTTTGGTAGGCCGTGCTTTGATTGCAGTCGCTGCGATATAACTTTGGACTTCTTTCTCACTACCTTTCTATGCAGGTACAAGCAATCATGTCTATGGATATGGAAATGTCGATGGCTCCGACGAGCACCGGTATGGCTATGTCGGGCATGCCTATGGCGTCGACTGCTACCGGCATGGCGCCAATGGCTACTTCGTCAGGCGGAATGGGTGGCATGGATGATATGGCCGATATGATGGGCGGATGCAAAATTAGTGTAAGTTCTATCCCATCTTCTCTCGCAGTGAGGAGAAAGGAAGTCTCAGCTAACAACCCGTCCCGCAGATGCTGTGGAATTGGAACGTTATAGACACATGTTTCATCGCGGAATCGTGGCATGTACGCTCCAAAGCCATGTTCGCCGGCTCCTGCATCGGCGTAATCCTCCTTGTCATCCTCCTCGAGTTTCTGCGGCGCGCAGCTAAAGAATACGATCGCTACATCGTCCAGCAACACTCCAAGACACTCGCATCCTCGGGGATCGGCTCCTTTTCCTCCTCCTCATCGAACGCCAACGACAGCACGACTAAGCATCCTGCTGCTACAACATCGCCGGCTGCTTGCGGCGCCATGGCTGCGACGACGACCAAGTTCCGGCCGAGCGTCCTACAACAGGGGGTTAGAGCGGCATTGCACATGGGCGCATTTGCTGTGGCTTATTTCGTCATGTTGCTGGCGATGTATTACAATGGGTACTTTATCATCTGCATCTTCATCGGTGCGTATCTTGGATACTTCATCTTTGGGTGGGAGAGCTTCAACGTGAGCAGCGGGGGCGAGGATCGTATGCAGGAGAATGCCACAGTTTGCTGTGGATAGGATGGAACGTTGAATTTTGACTGGATTGATTACATGGCTCGGAAATACTCGCGAAATTAGCAACAATGACAAGATGTTCACCAAGGGCAGTATCACATGGTACACGTGTATTGTTGTGAAGTGATTGATTGTCATATGTGGTATCTCTTGAGCCGCCGAACTTCCCTCATCCCCTCATCATCGCACGCCACTCAAGATCCACCCGTGACGCATTTCTTCGTGGGCACCATATAGTACAGGACTTGTAAGGTCATCTGTAGAGTGTCAGTGTGTATGCCTACATGGAATCGATGCGATGGCACCCACAGTATCGTGTTCATCACACGCCATCAATCCGAGGATTGAATGACTTATTTGCCCTGGAGAACAGTTAGCATTGCGTTCACAAGGAAGCCATGGTACAACGTACGGGGCAGCCATCGCAAGTGCAGCTAGAGCCGCAGTTGCAGGCACCAGAAGCACAGCCGCAGTTACCCTTCATTTCGATGGTTGAAGATGGGTTGTTGGTTTGTGGGAAAAAGGTTGGTATGGTTGAAGAGTGAGTTGGCTTGTAAGATGACTTGATTGTTGTGATGTAGGAGTAAGCAGCATAGGGCCAGCAACCGACTTCTTATATACCCTCAGCATGCGCGACTTGTGCGGTAAAGCGGCCAAACGCAGGGCTCTTGATGCCACCTCTTCCCTGCGGCAACGCCGTCAGCGGCGGCTCCCGTTCATGTGCTTCAAGAGGTTTGCCCCGCATCCCACTGCGTTTGTGGCATTGTTGACTGTAAGCTTTGGTCTCAGTGGTCGATTCGCTCCGTTGGTAAAGTTTAGCCGCAACCACGCGTTTTGTGCTATTGGCTCCCACTTATTTTGCGTACATTGTGCGGTTGGTCGCCGGGTCGCGCGGGGGCGTGAGAGACTTGTGCGGTTGGTCTAGCCTGGCTTCGAGAAGGTGCCAGGGCTTGCCTCGGGAGAAAAGTGGAGTTGCGTCGTTTGTGCGGATGGATTGCCAAGGGATCCGGGCCGTGGGTACATGTCGTATTCGGGCCTTATGCCCTTTTACGTCCCGCGATAAGAGACATCAGCGTCTTGATCCTTTTGGCGATGCAACCTGTGGGTTAGTTTAGTTGGGCTGTTGTGTCATATCTAGCCAGATCGTCTCAATGGACAGAGTGTGTTTGTGTGAAGATGGGAGTCTGAGAGGGCATATTTGGGCTACTACGAACGCAGGTACACGAAACTTTTGGGCCGGATCTTGACGTTGGTTCTGTATTGGTCAACCAATAAATTTGCCACCGCAGTAGATGCAGGCATCGCAGGCAAGGAACAGTACCCGTGCCAGCGTGATGGGCAACTCCCTTCGTTCGTACTCATGATCTTCACCGTCAGAATCGTTGCTTTCTTGCTCCACAGCCATGGCTTGCTCGTCTCCTTCTTGGTCACTAGAACCCTCTTCATCCACCTTGTTCAATGAACCACTGCTCTCCTGTTCTCCCTCTGATACCGATCCGTCTCTTATCACGCCTGTCATGACCGTGTTGTCTCCAGTGGCGGCGCCTTTATTGCGTTCCGCGTCTTCTTGGGCCATGATGAACTCGTCGCTTAGAAACGGAGTGCTGCATATACCACAGTACTTCGTGATGCCGGGCGCTTGGATAGCCAGAAAAGTGAGGCCACATCTAGGAAACAAATGTCCGTTGGTGCAAGTTGCTGACCGTGGGTCTGCGAACGGTATGAATGCGGAGCAGAAATCGCAAGTATCTGCTACTGGGACTGCTGGACCTTGATTCGTCGGAATGCTGTTGCCATGCGTACCGGTACCAACTGTTGATGCGCTTTCCTGCTCCGAATTTTTGTCTGCGGGCAAGGACTCGGATGTATCGTCATAGCCCATGACCATGTTGATGAGTGTGACGAGTTGCTTGTGATGCGTGCGAATTTCTGCGCTGAAAGGCGTATCCGATAAAGATGAAGGAAGTTGTTGCAAGGCCACAGCGAGACGATACGCAATCAGAGTCTTCGGTAGCTCCTTGTTGATCTGCGTCTTGTAGGCTTCAGACACAAGGATGGTGTAGCGATCCTTCAGTGTAGATGATTCAAGGAAAGCATTCGACTTGAATCCCTTGATCAACGAATCGAGATCGTTGACAGTGGGGTACGCTATTGATGTGGTCGCGCTCATCTCACTGACAGGAAGAGCTGTGTAAGTCTCGACTAGCTTTGAAACCATCTCATCCGCGAATGCGGGTATGTCGTCAGGGTCCTCGACAAGTTCTTCTGCCAACTTCTTGAGACTGTACATTATTCCTTCTGCGGTTACGTTCTCTTTTGGAAAGATGTCCCGTGAACGGCTGCCAGGTCGCAAAGAGCTGATAGCCACGGCGCCACTACGGTCAGCCGGAATACCGTACTCGATCATATCGGAAGGATGTACGCTGTTGCATGCCGCAATGAAGTCGCCCAGCGGAGATCTCGCGAGACCCCATACCTTGGCCCTGCTATTGCCTTTGAGTCCATTCTTCACACTAAACAGTGCCAGGTTATTTCCGATTCTCTCCCGCCATTCTGGGGCATCAAGACCTTTGAGCCCATCAGAAGTCTGCTCAAGAATAGCAGTCGGACTGTGAAGGGTCGACAACAGAGAGCTTATATGGAGACGGGGAGTTGTGGCGCCAGTCGTATCCCAAACAAGGCCTGAGACCGGATCCCATCGCCCGTCCAGATCATGCGTACTCCTTTCGATGATGGAAGCGTCAAGAGCGGATACCGTTAGATATACTAGTCCCGTGTTTGTGAAGAGGGCAAGCTTTAGTCTGTCTCCGTCTTCGACTCGGTGAAACCATTTCATCGGGCCATCATACCTCATTTCGTAGCCTGCGTAGACGACTTCGTGCTCCAGGTTCATTTGCCCGTGGTCATACGTGATGGTCCGCGCCCGTACGTCTTCATTCGTAGCGTATACCAGTACGGAACGATAAGATTCGTTGCAGATGATCCAAGGACTCCAGGCGATATGCGATATGTACCTTTGCTGTTTAATCATGTCTTCGAAAATATCAGGTTGTGGGAAGACCGTCTCCGAGGACAGTGCGAAAGACTGATGTGTTAGTACCTCAGCCCTCCAGTCCGGCTCAGCTCCCAGTGAGGACGTCGGTGTTTCGATCTTCAGAAACACGAGGTGGTTGTCATCATCAGAGACTGCTAACATGTGCGGACCGTACACCAAGTGAGTACCGACGACACCAGGCGTTTCTGAGCAAGGCATAGCGGGTGCCCAGGCGAACGCTCGAATGCGGCCTCTTGACCGCAGTCGTTCTTTTGAATCGTGCACCACGTAGCTAGGTTCGTCGTCCCAGTCTCCGAAGTGGTCAACGAGTGCATCGTTGATGATCAATCGTCGGGCCCAACTTGTCTCATCCTCTGGCTTGCCTTCTGCTGCTGACCAGAGGGAAAGCGTCAGATTTGCGGTAAGAGCAGCAAGCGCGCATTTTCGATGTTTAGCAATGCCGGGCGGAGACCACGCGATGCTAATGGGAGCGCTGTTAGAGATCTCTTCGCCGACCGAGTAGTTGGATGTTGGCGCAGGTTCTTTGAGTGGGAGCTCATCGGTCGAGAACAAGGGTACCTTGAGAGGTACATGCTGCCATTGCGGCAGGACTTGGTCTCGCTCGAAGTCAACAGTGTTCGGGAACTACGCAATCATTAACAAAAAGGTCTCGTGTAAGTATCTGCACAGAAAGGTACTCACAAGCAGCTCTACGCGCTCATCCGACGCTAATGCAATGATGCCGTCGGAAGACCAATCGATTGCATCGACGCAGGCTGGCCAGCATCTCAGCACTGTCACGTCCGCCATGATCGCGCATCAAGTCTCAGAATAAGTGGTCCCCGTTGTTTAGTGGTTCTGGTCATGGCTCACTGTGGTGAGGGAGAACGTGAAAAGGTTTCGACTAGCGCGAAAACGCGAAAAGCCTTCACGTAGGAAGCGCAAAAGGTCTCGAATTAACGACTTTTGCGTACAATGACTAAAACCTTCACATAGCACTTCGTGGACGCGCAGGGACGTGAGAAGCATCGAACACGCGAGATTTGCTGGCGCAGGATCGCGTTGAACGCTTTGGGACTAGTTCCGGACTTATCGATAGTGGTGATACCGACCGCCGACGAAAAAGTGATTTTTCCGCCATCCTTCTCAACTTCTCCACACGAAGCATTGCCCGCCAACAAGATGGGGAAAAGACCGATCTCTGACGTCGTCGCTGAAGACGGCGCGACCACCACTCCCGAACTTTCAAGGAAGAAGAGCAAGAAGGACAAGAGCAAGAAGCTCAGCAAGACCGCTGAGGTGGATGCGACTGAGACGAATGGCGATGCGCAGGCTGTAGAGGACTCGGAAGACGAATCGAAACTGTCAAAGGCCGAGCGCAAGGCGGCGAAGAAAGCAAAGAAGGCGGCTAAGGAAGCGAAAAAAGCGCTGAAGGCTGCCGCGGGTGCCGATTCAGACGAGCCTGCGGAAGAGAACGAGGAAGCCATCAAGACGGCAGAGAAGGCTGCGCGAAAGGCAGAGAAGAAGCGCGCGAAGGCATTGGCCAAGGGCGAAGCTACAGAGCCCGTTCCCTCCTCCAAGCCAGCACCGGTCGAAACCACAACGAGCGCAGCCACCGTCGAATCGGGAGACTATGTGGAGAGCAAAGAGCTGACCCAGCTTTCCCAGTCGGAGGTCGATGCCTTCCTCGCCAAGAACACAATGGCCATCCAAGACCCCAAACCTGCCGCTCGCAAGCTCCGCCCCATCCTGAACTTCAAGTACCTCCCGGTCGACGATGCGCAACGCGCCTTCTTCGCCAAGTTTAGCGCCCCTACACCTATACAAGCAGCCGTGTGGCCATACTTGCTCTCAGGCAGAGACATGGTTGGTGTTGCTGAGACAGGTTCCGGCAAGACGCTCGCGTTTGGTGTACCATGTGTGCGCTACATCGCAGCGCTGCCCAAGAACGAGCGAAAGGGTGTCAAGGCTGTCATTGTCTCACCTACGCGTGAGCTGGCTGTTCAGATCTACGACCAGTTGGTAGCGTTGGCGACACCGGCTGGACTGTCTGTAGTCTGCGTGTACGGCGGCGTGCCGAAAGACCCTCAGGTTGCTGCTTGCAAGAAGGCGCACATTGTGGTCGCTACACCCGGTCGCCTAAACGACCTCATTGGCGATGGCTCCGCAGATCTCAGCAAAGCCGAGTACGTAGTACTTGACGAAGCCGACCGCATGCTTGATAAGGGTTTCGAAGAAGCAATTCGGCAAATCATCTCGCAGACGCCCAAAAAGCGCCAGACCCTCATGTTCACTGCTACGTGGCCGCCCTCCGTCCGGGATCTTGCGTCCACCTTCATGAACTCGCCGGTCAGGATCACAATCGGCGACAACCAGTCTGGTGAGCTCCGCGCCAATGTGCGCATCAAGCAGCTTGTCGAGGTTGTTGATCCCCGCGGCAAAGAGCAGCGTCTGCTGCAGCTACTTAGACAGTATCAATCTGGCAAGAACAAGGACGATCGTATCCTCGTCTTCTGTCTGTACAAGAAGGAAGCAATGCGCATCGAGGATTTCATCCGCAGACAGGGCTTCCGCGTGGGTGGCATCCACGGCGACCTGAGCCAAGAAAGGCGCAGCGCCTCACTGGCGGCGTTCAAGGAAGGCCATGTGCCCCTTCTCGTGGCGACGGATGTTGCTGCACGAGGTCTCGACATTCCCGCGGTGAAACTCGTCATCAATGTCACGTTCCCTTTGACGGCGGAGGACTACGTTCACAGGATTGGTAGAACGGGTCGTGCCGGAAAGGAGGGTTTGGCGATCACGCTCTTCACGGAACACGACAAAGCACTCTCCGGATCGTGAGTACTCCTTGCATTTGCGTACATTGTTCCAGTCAACTAACTCTATTATTAGTTTGATCAACGTTCTCAAGGCAGCAAACCAGCCTGTACCCGAAGAGCTGATGAAGTTCGGTACAACTGTCAAGAAGAAGGAGCACGGTGCATACGGCGCCTTCTACAAAGACACTGGAGACTCCAAGGCAGCTACTAAGATTACTTTTGATTAAGTCCCAAGAGTCTAGCTGTGTGTTGTCAAAAGCGGACTTCGGCATCTCGTAACGAAGCTGGTCGGCGAAGTAGATGCCGCCGGCTACAGCTGCAGCGCGATGATCGACTTGTAGACCTAGAAGCATTTGTCTAGCGGAGGCGTTTCGGATCATGCAAAGCAAAAGTTCCGGTAGTGTACACTGTTGTAGATCGCGATTTTGTTTAGTAATTACGAGTCTGCACAACAATTTCCATTCTTCGTAACGAATATCCCATCTTATGCATGAGCTAAAGAGAATTCCCCTGTCCTATAGCTTCCGACTGTACCGTGCCTCTGGACAATCGTACGATTTCTCGAACCTGCGTATCTTCAGGTCCACACGAGAAGAAGGCTTCAGCCACCTCATCATACCGAATGCACTTGTTCCTAGCTACCATCGTGAATCTCAAATACGCATGTATCCACATGCGCCAACCGACCGCCGTACCATCAAGACAACACGCCTACCCAATGCACTACGCTTCCATTACGGCCAAAAACCCACACTGACCCTCCGCATGCCCACTCCACGGGGATACCCAGTCCCGGCACACCGACCCCAAAAACTCCTCTCCGATCCTCACCATGTGCATGGCTCGGCAACGGACCTGTACTATAGGTTCTAACACACGCCGCTCCCGCGCACTAAACCCGCGTGCGCAGCGAAAAAAGGCGTCTGGCGTTAAAGTGGTACTTCGCCGAATGTGGTCGCCGACTATAGTTCGGACAAATCACTAAGCAGCCAATCAGATCGCGGGCAGGTGAGGCAGAGACCCAGTCTTCTGGGGTGGGATTGGTGAACTAGAGCCCGAGGGGATTTATCATGCCTCACCGCAGTGAGGTAGTGTGTTCGCCGTGTGTAGGGGGGTTCGGCGAGGAGGGTATGTGGGATTGCGGAGGAAGGTAGGTGTATATAAGGGTCTCGGTGGGTTGCTGAGCGGACGGAGTGCATTCCAGATCTCTTTCAACCAAGATACGCATTTCGAGACTACTGTTATACCACGCTATACGCTACCGGACTCCACGAAAAGGTTTCGGCATACTTCCTCTTGCGTTCGGCATACCTTCATCGGCACATCATCGGCATCGCCACATATACTCGATATCCATAACATACTACACATTCACGATGTGCAAGAAGGCTTCCTGCGACTCCTGCAGTAGGTCACCTACCACCATTCTGTTGGTACGGGCACGGCTAACATCGCCTCAGACAAGACCACATGGTGGGGCTGTGGTAAACACGTCGCCGGCGTCATGGACAACACCCCCAAAGAGCAATGGTGCACATGCGCACCCCGAGTCGAACAACAAGGGACACAATATCCTCCCATGGGCTCACTATCTTCGGCATGACTGCCGGCTTGGTTGAGGGGTTCGAAGGCATAGCGACAGAACGGTACACGATGAAGGGCTGCTCTTTTCGGAGTCTGGGAACATATGGAGTACTGGCGTGATGATTTACGATACGAACGACGCATGGCTACGATTTCTGATAGCGTTAGCGATGCGCAATCCATACCCAATTTTACGTTTTGAAGACTGCTTTGTCGCTGGTGGTCATCAAGCTGTGGTGCCGTGTAGATCGCCTTGTCTGGGCCTTGTGCCTGTTGCACATGTCAGCACAACCGTTCGAATGACCACCAGCACGTTGGTCAATGACGGGGATACAAGCTGCGCCTTGCACGACGAGGCCCTCATCACGGCCTGACGGGACCTGGCATCTTTGTCCGTCGCCCGTTCCAGAAGCATGGTGTTGGGAGCTACGACATGCCACCACCAGCTTTGTAGCACGGTGACCACGGTGACCACGGAGGACAGTGGAAACATCTGGACCGTGGTGATGACAGAAGCTGTCATTTTAGACCCTGAAGCGGGTAAGTTGAGGCCTCAATCCTGTTAGCAAGGCTCGGCGGCCATTTGAAACAGCTTCTGGAAGTCTCAGATGCTTCGAAGTCAAACAGCTATGATGTCGACGGGTGCCGGGCCAGTGAGGCATCTCCCTTCCAATCGGACCCCAAGAAAATGCCGGCGCAGATGCGTGGCGCGTACAGCGCAATGACAAGACAGTCAAAAAGTCTTGTGCCAGACCATTGGAAAGGTAAGAATAGGACGGTTGGTGGTGGTTGAGTTGGAGAGAACGCGCGCGAACCAATGGGTTCGGAGAGGATGCACCCGCCATGGTGAGGCTGGTCTCATAATGGGTCTGCTAAGTATAGCCGTTGCAGATGTGGAACTAGGCCCCTGCAACTAGCCAGTTTCAGCCATGGCCCTACAGGATCCGAGCCTTGAGCTTCAGCGACGAGGTGAATGACAGGCAGCCACCCTGCAGCAAGAGGCGCATGTGGTGATGGAAAAGGCAGCGACCGAGAACTGGCATTGGGCAGATGCGGGGAAAGCAGAAAAAGCAACTCCCCAGGACCCCGTGGGATGTCCTGCACGCGGTCATGAAGTAGTGGTAGATCCTGCTAGCGAAACGATTCTCGAATGTTTGAGATGGCTCTCGTGCATATCGCAGTAATCACAGGATGTGACTCGCGCAGCTCACACAATGGCTGGATCACGTCGGCGGTTAGCCCAAAGTATCCATGAATGGCGGCGGCCGTCGCGGACACCAAACGGAGACTGCCACCTGGGGGAGGTATATTTGCAGTCCATAAGCGGTGCATGCTGCTGTTATTGTTAAGCAGTGAGTCTCACGCGCATTCGTCCTTGCCGCTTCGTATTGTCGTGTATTGTATTGT